AAACAAGTCAACTGGTCAAAACCAGGTCTCGGAAGAGCTGTCCATAACTACTGTGGGATTAAACAGTTTACTCACTGATCTGTACTTTTAAGTCACTGCTCATCAGAAAGGAATTTGTTCTAGGGCTCCTTGTTGGAGTAACTACAATGCCAAGGCTATACTTGTTGCATTCTCAGAAGATGACAACTTTTTCAGTTCTCAGAAGGGAAAGAACCACACCCACCCTGGATACCCTACAGGAAGCACAGAAATGTTAGTAGGACCTTTGTAATTATTCTGGCATAAACCTTTAGCAATACATCTCCTAGAGACACTGTGATTTAGCACGGAATTATTTCATCATTTGGTGTAAAACAGAAACTAGAAACAAAGCACAATTAAAAGGATGGTGAGAAAAAAAAAGCCATTCTAGACAAAGGTGATTGTTTAGAACATTTGATCTTACCCTGAAACCAATTGCTCATCAGTTAGAGGACATTGGTCTCTGAAATGGGAACATGGCCATAAACACAAAACAAAACACAACAGAAGAAAATAAACGAGGCAAGTACACAAAATACAAAAAAAAAAAAAAGAGATAATATTAAAAACTATGTTGAACTATTAAGGGTTAAACTCCTGTAAAGGAAATAAAACTATTGAGAAGACTCAAAAGTTAATGGCAAGTGAATTCTGGAGTATATTGCAGGCTTAGATTGACAACATGGAGAAAACAGGCTCAGGTGTATTAGTCCCCTTGCTAACCCTGGCTGCTGGAATGCCTTCCCATGATACACTGCATTTACAGAGCTGTATTTACACCGTACTTTTTAATTCATGCTTACCTTACGATAAAACAGAAGAAGGTGCAGTCTGATTTAGAGCAGATTTTAAATTTTACTTTCTTTTCTAGACTGTTACTAGCGTTCTCGCCAAAGGAACATCCTAGGCAGCCCCAAATGACCCACAGCTCTTCACAACTGGTTCTGGTGCTTCCATACCCACAAGAGGATGCTGAACATTTATTGCAGCAGCACAGCCATGATTCTGTAAAGGGCCTTGCACACCGAGCTGCTGCTGCCTGCCCCAGGGATCTAAACAACAGGTACAAGCCTGGCCAGCCTCACGGCACAACCATGAAGCCCTTCTCTGTCTCTGTCTGCCTCAGGCAATAAACAGAAGCCCAGGAAGAGTAGCTGAAAAAGTTTTCAAGGCAAAGAACCTGAAAATCTTCTTTACAACAGGTACAGAGCGAGGCTCTCTTAACAGCTGCACTCACTTTTAGAGCAGAGAAACACTTGTTTTTTCATTTTAACAGTCGACTGCTTTTTTTTCTTCCAAATAACGAGGGAGAAAAGGACTTGTTTCCTGAAACAAATTTCCTAAATATACTGAAAAATAAATCCGATGAAAGCTTTCACTGTCCATGTTAGAAAGGGGTGACAAAATGAAATCCTCCAGCAGTTATTTAATTCAAAAGACAGCGAATTTCCACCAATCATGTTGAAAAGGGAACCTAGAGCCATCCCAAACGACAAACTATACAAGGGGGGTGATATTACAGGAAGGGTGTTTAAAGGGATGGATGGACGAATGGAAAAGCACAGGCTTACAGAAAGGAAGCCTTTCAGAACAAATACAAGTAAAAACACTGGAGTCCAGTGAAAGAGGGACAGAGGATACAGAAATGTTGTCACAGGAGAACTACTGTTTGTTAGAAAGGGACATTCAAGTCCTTGTTTGTCAGTAACTTGGGATTTTTTTATAACAGAAGCGTTTGGCCAATTAATGACATCAATGCTGTCAAATTTGCTAAATCCCCTCCAGTTACTCGGTTATGCTACTAAAAAAGGCAAAGTCTGGCATAACATAAGTTACTCCATGTGCATCTTCATTAGAATTTTTGCCCACTGACTATACCACCTTCCAAAAAATTACAAAAAAAATTCGAAAATTTCAAATTTAACAAAACTTTATCTTATGGCTTCAAATCAGAAATTGTCTCATGCTTTCTCACAGGAGAAAAAAAATAAAAAGACTCTCAGGGATCTCTATAAGCTGTGAGGGGTACACATTAGTAGTAAAGCAAAAACTCAAAAACTGAGGGATGTTTTTGAAGAGAGTAAGTTATGAAAGGCTGAGAAGAAGCCAACAAAGAGAAACACTTGACAGTAAATTTGTTTTGACAGTGACAGATTCTTCTGACTATCGTTTTGTTGCGTGGCCACCACCAACACATCTCAACCCCTTCTGCTGCTTGTCTTGCTTTTAAAAGGAAGAAAAATCTTTACTCTGAAGACCCAAACACACAGGTCCATTGAGTAGAAGTTAATACAAGCAAATACACACCACTAACCTAGAGGCAGGATTGTCATGAATAACCTGCAATTGTCTACAAAAAACAAAAAGTGTAACAACGACCAGGAAATTTTGAGTCTGAAGGCTAAAAGAAATCCAATTACACATACAAAATATGCTACATGGAAAATGAGAGTTAAGGCAGCCAAACTGATCTTATTTTGGCCTTTCTGAGATCGTAAAGAAATACATATACCTCAGCTGCTCCAGAAAAAGTCTGCTGAAAAGTCACTGACCTGAGTTCCAATAGTTTAGGAAAAAAGACACAGTGAACCTTACCCAGGACACAGCTGGTGACAGATTGCTAGTGTATGAAAGACAGCCATCCAGTGTAAAAAACGATTAACCCGACCCTCATAAGAACTACTGCAGCAACAAGATAAATCTGAAATAACCTTTGTTACTGAACACGAAAAGATGTGAAAGACCCAACCTGCCAAATTATCAAACTTGCCATACACCATCAACTCAAACCGAGCACTCTGCCCACTCCAAAGCCTCAATTTGTGCCACCAGAAACATCCACCGATGCTACCAATACGTGGTGATTTAAAGGAATATTTTTGCCAACTCTTCCTTGAAGAAGCCTTGTAGAAACAATATGAAATCACTTAATAGATTACCTTCATCGCAGACAATCCCAATTCAAAAATCACCATCACCAGAAAACAGACGGGACTTTGTGCTGATGAAATCTCCCCACAGACTAGGGAAGCAAAGGTTTCAGAAGGAGAACCACTGCGCTAGAGAACAAACTTCCAAGTTTGAAAGAGCTGCCAGTGGGGGAATGGGAGGCTTTCACAAAACCAGTCACTCCATTCCTGATCTTCAATGGGAATGTACAAAACACAGTCTGAACAGGAGCTCAGGAGTGAAAACTGGTAACACTGACATGGAAAAAACCCTCATGGGCCCCGTGACAATACTGGTTTTACAGCATACAATAGTTAAGCTTCCTTTCCTAGTTTATAACTCATATGCATCTTGCTCTTTCCAAGAAATCTGCAATTTTCTGCTCCCACTCTCCCCTTAGAATCTCCTCTACTGATTATACTGGTGTTGGGAAAAAACCTTTTCAACAAGTAAACCTGAAACAACTACAATTTTGCAAGAGACCTTGACTTTCTGAATGCAGGCACCCAGCCATGTCAGCAGCACGAGCAGTGTGCTGGACCTCTGTTATCTGCCCTCGAGAAGAACCAACACTTTCAGAGCAGCATGAACACTCACTGCCTTCTATTTCACCTTTACCCGCACAGCAGCTACAGACAGATCCGCAGGAGATGACATTAAGGGATTCCCTGCTAACGGACCTGTGTTGGCTGACACCTCAATTTCATCTAAGTAGATCCAAGGCTTATAACCACTGACCTTGGTAAGAGTCAGGTGCAGACGCTGCAGCATGAATTTGTACGCATTGCCACATACAAAACTGTACAAGTGGCGACTTCTTTTTTCTGAAGGCCATCACTGCTGACAGGGACTGCTGCCTCAATATTCTCTCCTCCAGTGCTTCAGAAATACGATACTTTGTGCTTAGTGAGCTCAGCTGAGAGACCACAAATTCTTTTAAACACTAACAGTTTAACAACAAATACCGGATCAGGAGATTAAGCGCTAACTTTCAAGTCCAGAGCTCTTGACATTACTACAAATTAAATAAATAAATAAATAAATAAATAAATAAATAAATAAGTTACATGTAGGTTACATGCCAGCACAGTCAATCTACTTAAAACCAGTTTTAGGAAAATACTAGCATTTTTCTCATAACTTGACCATAACTCAAAACGATTGTAGCAGCCACATATTGCACTACCCTAGTTCAGCACCACAGGCAACACCCAGCAAACGCAGCTCCGCCTGAAGCGCTCTGTCCAACAGGGCAGAGGCAACACGAATCAGTATCAGACAGAAGTTGGTACCATTCCAACACTGTCTAGGGAAATACTAGCCAGGGTTTTGAACAGCAACCAATAAAATCCCTGAGATAACCAGCGTGCACTGAGCCTTCCTAATGCACATGCTAGCTTCTACCCACAGCAGAGTCTGAAACACCGTTCACCAATTACCAAACTGCCACCGCCAAGGCTTGCTCCCACCGGAGCTGGGCCCCGAACCAGACTGTGCTCACTGGAGACAGGACAGAAGGCTGCATATGAAGGTTCCAAAGACACCAGAAGAGACAAAAGATACAAATTACCTGAAGAAAAATGTGTTTTCCTAAGATCCCAGTTCTGGAAAAACACGAATTTATGAAGTTTATGGTCATGGGTGATTTTAATTCCAACTAAACCATTTTCAGTCACAAAGTTAAGGACAAGCTTACTTTTTGCGAGGTTGGGATTTAAATTTCTTTTTCTGGGCAAGTGATGAGCACTTCTTTTTTACTCTCGTATGAGAGGCGAGCAGCAAACTACTCCACCATTTGATTAATACTGGAGATTAAAACACACTTCACAAAAAAGATCTGCAACTTAACTATGTGCCAACAGAGGAAAAAAAACAACTTTTTCTTTCCCAGATTTGTCTCGTATCTGATAGTGATAGATTAAGAACCAAGAAGCAGATTTCAAATTTTCTACAAAAAATAATTAGAGGGTCTACTTGTACGTATATGCATGCCGAATAACACACTGCCTGTTTTCAGTGCATTTGTTACCCACTGATTTCTGGCAACTGAAAAACTATCTTTAAGGCTCGGTTTCCTTTTGAACTCCTATTTCACTCCACAGACACAAAGGCAGCTATATCTGGAGAAACAAAATTAGTTATTCATTAGTGCACAGCAATTCCATACAACAGTACACAAGCTAGGGAAGAATTTGAGGCAACTGAACAATATATCCAGTTAGAGGTAGGCAGGAGAAGACAAGTGGAATTTTGCCAAAGGATTAATATTCCTAGTTCTTAACAAGTAATATCACCTTTCTAACAAGCACAAAACACCTGTCCTATACCTTGCGCAGTAAACAACAGATTCAGTAGCATTCCCTCATGAGCCATTTGTCATTATGAAGCACTGATTTGCTTATAACTTGGCATTACAGCATTTCTGGCAAGTTGTCTTCTAATAGTCCAAGAGAATTTGCCTATTGAACTAGGAGGTAAGAGAGTCACCTCTCCTCCATTTCAAACTCTTAGGCAAGAAGAAATGTCCTCCTCCTACCTGGAGTCCCCATCTTGATCTTCTGTGGTGTCACCAGAGCTATTCACAGCATATCGACTCCTTGGTTTATCTGAGGCAAAGAAAAAGGAGAACTTTTCTGAGGAAAAATCTCCTTAAAGTGTTTGTGTTTATATGTGAAGAGAATCCTTGTTTGTGTCCTTTTCAAAATTATCTATAGGGCAGATTAAAAAAAAACTTAAAAGCAGAAAGAGCTTTCCTTTCTGAAATACCAGGTCTTTTGTTTCTATTCTCGCTCAAAACTCCATCAAAAAAATAGGAGAAAGAGGTTTTCATGTTCAAGGGATCAAGAGGAGAAAGTAGAACATCCACAGGAACAACTTTTTCTCTCATGTGCCAGGTAACAGTTCACAATTCAAGAGTGTGGAAAATAAAACTCAGACCCCTGCATTTCCCTCACTATTAGGTTTTAGGACAACGCTAAACTCCAGAAGCCCCTCCTGCAGTCATGGGTATCAAAACCCCTTACCTAGGAAAAAAAGCAGGAGAGTGGCTTGAGGGAAGCAGACAGCCAAAACAAAAAAAATCTTTTCAGATTTTACCTATAAAACCAAAAAGGTGTTCAAAGATGATTCTCTCCTGATAAAAAGTACCTCAGAGCCTAACCACGGGTGTCAAACCTCTGGTGACACACAGCAACGTGTTGTCAAACGGCCTCGTCACTCTGCAGCACCTCGGGCCGCGCA